CCCCCTGCTCTTTGTCGGAGCTGAGGCTGCAAAGGGGTCCCAGTGCTCCTGGAGAAGAGCTGCCGGTGGTACTAAGAGCATCCTTTGCAGCACTGTTGGAAGTGGCATCTCCTTTTTGTAGGTAAACCAAGAAATAGGACATGTGAGTTAATTTTTTTGGGGGCTAAAGGAAACTCAAATCTGCCTCTGAGCCCTGAGAGAGCAGCATGGCTGTGCAGATGGGGTACGGCGATTTGGCCTCTTGAAACTGAGCTGATGCTTAGGAGAGAAACTAAGGTTGATGTGCTGGGATGCACATGGAGGGGTGTCCAGCCTTGACAGAGGGTCCCTGCAACCCATTGGAGGGACTGATGGGTCCACTCTGGAGAATTCATGGCACAGCCTTGAGGCATCCCCTGGGAACCTGGAGTGCTTCAACCATCCTTTTACTATTTCCCTCAAATAATTATTTTCCTTTCTTGTTGAGCTGAGATTTTTATGCAGCGACAGGTCAGAGAAAATGTTTTAAATGTGGGATAAGGTATTGATATTCCTTTCTGGCTTGGCTATGAGACAGAAGGACAGATGTGGGCTTGGAAACAATGTCATTTTTGTTCTGTCATTTTTGGACCTCCGTTGCAAACTGTGGCAGAGTTTATAGGAAAGTGTAAAGCCGAGAAGTGTTTACTTTTTAATTTCAGATGATTGCTTTGGATGGTTTTTGAAATGTCTTCGTCTCTTTTGAACCGCTTGATCAGTAGGGTGCAATTGGAATTGGAGGGGATTTTTTGGAGGACAACTCTGTGTTTTTGTTTGGCTGGGTGGCTTTTGGGTGGCAGAGGAGGAGCTGTGTGTGCCAGCCGCGTGGACTGTGCTGCAGGCGGCCGCAGAGCGGTACCCAGGTGGGCAGCGGGATGTGATGCAGAAAGTCCTCACCCAGGCGTCGCCTTGAGGCGTTGCCTCTAAATAGCAGCGAACTGTCTTCGCAGAACGGGCGTTTTTTGATGTTTTACTGAAGGCCAGAAGAGTAGTAGTACAGTTTGGATGTAAGCGAACCGTCTTCTCCCAAGTATTTTTTTGAGGAGGAAATCTGCTTCTTGGGGATGCTATTACTGCTCTAAAACCGTGGCTTTCCGGTAATGTTGCAGCAATGAGCTTCCTATGAGGTTTTGCTTAGATCACTTTCAAAACCACACTGAAGCCATATCAGAAACTGGGAATATTTAAGCATTGCTCCTCTGTCTCTGGACCCTTGCTGACTGTCTGGTGTCAATCTTAGCAAATGATTGATTCATTTTGATAGTTACGATTCTTCAAGTGAATTGTGCTGCTGTGTAGTAACCATCCAGGATAATACGCTTGGTTCTGTATGACATAACAAATGTTTATTTAGGAAAAAAAAAATAAGAATTTGTGTCAGACAATCACTTAGATGTGGGAGAGTCAGTAGAGATGCAGAAATGAAGGCCTGGAGCAGCTGCCCAATTCAGCAAGGACTGAACCAGGCCAGAAATGCGTTCATGTCTTGCAGGGTTGGCTATAAGAGACACCAAATATGTGGTAGCTGAAGAGATGATGTCTATGGACTGGGCTGTATCCTGGTACACTGGGGCCAAGGAGGCTTATCTGGCTTAGGATGGGTAGGAGAGAGGACACAGCACAGCCAGCAGCTGCCTGCAGACACCTATGGAGGTGATGGGGTTGGCTCTTCTTGGCAGCAGCAGTGACAAAATACAAGGCAGCAACCATGGTCTGTGCCTTGGGACATTTGGGCTGGATGTGGGTAGAAAGCCCTTTCCCAGGGACATGTCCTTGGAGGGGTGATGGTCTCCATCCTAAGTTGCCCTGATCTGGCTGCTTAACCATGACCCTGGGGTACTGCTGCTCTGGCAGCAGGATTCAGTTGTAGGGATGAAAATTGCTTTTTTTTTGATGAGCATCATAGAAGAATGGGGAAGTCTGGGGAAGGAGGAAGTGCCTGAGGATCAGAAGGGCACCCCTGCAGAGCTGGGTGTAGCAAACCCTTACCCTCCAGAGAGGTAAGCTGGAATTTGGGAGAAGGCTCCAGTGACAGCAAGAGGGAAAAGAAGAAAGGCTCATGCCTTGCTCCAAATGGCCCATGAGGCTTCACTGAGCTTCCAAGGGATGCGCCATTGCCCATGATCTGGATTGTGGACACATGCCAAGCACTGATCTTCCAGTAACTGTTATCTGTTTTACACATAAACTGGCTTTCTGTGCCAGTTACAGCTGACATTTTATTGAAACCTACCATGAGTGAACATAAAACATTCTTACATAATTTTTAACATAATTACATCATTTTATGATGATAAAACATCAACACGGGTACAGCAAAGTGCAGTGATTTCTGCCCAGATCATAGCTACTTGATTTCGACTCCAGTATAGCAGGGATCAGCAGTTGAACAAGTTGGCAGACGCTGGCATTTACCAGTCCTGATTTTAGTACAATATGGCTTTGCCACAGCCATAGCCCCCAAAGACAGGTGGTTAGGTGAGAATTTCTGCTCTTATTACAGAAAAACCAATAACTATTCTCCATTTTGCATCTCAAAAGATTTGAAGTTGTGACCCAAGGGTGCCTGCAGATTCAAAATGCAGAAGGCAAGTGTACAGTTTTAGTAACTGTTTATTTCTTTTAAATTCTGCTTGGTGAATGGTGAGGCTGAACTGGTAGTTGCTGGCTGTCCAGGTCTCCTAAAATGCTTGAAACTGCTCATCTTCCTTGGGTGCGCAGATTCTCTTTGTTTCACCTCAGTTGACCTTTTATTCATACAACACCCATGGGCTCAGTACTCTGCTGTTTCATACAGGATTCCTTATTCCAAGGCCGGACCATGTGCGTGGAGGAGCAGCGAAGAGCATGTATTGTTATTCTGTGCCAGAATAGGGTAATGATGTTGGAAATTAGGGTTCTTGAGATTTTTCTTGGGTCTGTATCAGCATCAGCACAAATTCCAGACCAGTCTACCATGCTTATTTTCACAAACATACTCTGCTTAAATCTACTCAAGTGAACAATCTTTCCCTCTTGCTCTCTAAATATAGATAACTGCTGTGCACATTCATGCATAATATGAATGGCAAAGTGATGAATTCATTAACATTTCGCAGAAATGCCTGTTTCCTCTCCTCTGGGCACAGAAGAAAATAGTATCTGCATCTTCATGTCTGTAGAGAGGACACGCTGGATCCTGCCCTGCCGCTACTCCCCTGTGCCATGCAGGGCTGTGGGGGTAGTGATGACCTGTATGTAAGGAGACCAAAGCAACCTCCTCATGTGATATATGCCAGTGAGCATGCAGTCAGCTGATCGCAAACCAAGCAGTCAGGATTAATAATTCCAGATCATCCATGGGCAATGTTCCTTCCTGCAGAGCAGGGTGCTCATGGTCCCTGTGCTCATGGGCTTCCTGCCTCACTGGGATGGACAGATGCCCCACTGGTGCCACTGAGAGCCTCCACCTCCTGCTCAAGCAAGTCCCTTGGCAGTGGCTGATACTGGAGGACAATGGCCATTCCTTGTCTAAAACCTATAGCAACTGGTGGTGTAAGTGGAGAGTGATTCTGCTGTACCAGGGTACTCGGAACCAGGAGATGTCACCTCTGAGGTTTGGACCTCAAAGACACTTCTCTTTACAAAAATGAGGTAGTGCACAGAAAAATAACTAGGAAGTAGAAAATCATAGAATCATAGAACAGCCCAAGGGACCTCAAAAAGTCTTTTGTGGGATAGGGGCGCCTAGATGAGATTATCTAGCACCCTGTCCAGTCGCATCTGAAAAATCTCCAGTGATGGGGACTCTGCCATGTCACTGAGGAGGCTGTTTCACTGAATGATTGTTCTCACTGTAAAGAATTTCTTTCTTATGTCAAGATAAAACCTCTTTTAGTGCAACTTGTACCCATTGCCCCTTGTCTCCTCTATGTAGCTTCTTGTGAAGAGAGAGCCTCTGTCCTCTTTGTAGCCACTGTTTAAATACTGGAACACTGTAATAGGCCCCTTCCATGAGACTTCTTTTCTCCAGGGAGAAAAGACCTAACTCCTTCAGCCTTTCCTCACAGGGCAGGTTCTGCAGACCCTTGATCATCTTCCTGGCACTCATTTGGACCCTCTCCAGTCTGTCTGTGTCTTTCTTGAACTGTGGGGTCAAGCCAGTGTTGTTCCTGTCTTAACACTGCTGTGATGCGTTTTGTACGAGCTTGTTAAAACAAGCACTGCTGGAGAAAGCCATCCCTGAGAGCAGATTTAGGATGAGCCTTGTTTTTTGCCAGGAAAGCTTGTTCCTGCTCACTGGTTGTGAAGGAGGCTGAGGGTCTAGTACAGCCGTCGATATCTGTGGGATGCCAGAGTTCGAGCATGCGGCTCCTGTGCAGTCTGCCGGACACATTCCCATGGCCTCCCAGCTACATCCTCTCCTTATCATATTAAAAACATCTGGGCAAAGTGATTTATAAACTCTCTCGCTTGGTAGAGTTGACTGCATTTTGTGTCTCAGTTATTTTCTGTAACTGAAATATTATCCATGAGCAGATTTTCCTAGACTTTAGCCCTACTGAATGCGTAGCTAGATCCTCACCTAGCCTTCTTTCCTTCTTTTTACCCACTCCCTCTTTCAGTTTTATGTTGTCTCTGTTGGCTTCATGTCCTAGGGCCTTGCCTTGATGTGTGGGGCTGTCATTGTCAGCTCTTAGAAGCCAGGCTGTGCCAACCTTGCCTTGTATCTGGTCTGGTAGATGCCAGATGCCATGTTGGGTTGGTGCATGAAACAGCACTGATGACTTGGTGGCTGCCTCTTGTTCCTTGAGAGCTATTGTGTTATTTGGGTAGTGAGGACAACAGAGGTGCTTGGCTCAGTGGCCTCAACAGGTCTTCTCAGGTACCTAACCATGCTCAAGAAGACTTTTTGGACTTCTGTCATAAGTCATAGCTTTGTATTTTGTCATTCAAGAGGTTTATTCACTGACATCCCATTCTTCTATCTTGCAGGCTCCACATCTGTTTGTTACAAGCCTACTAGCCCAGTTCAGGTACTGGAAGACACTGGGTTTCTTTACCAGGATCACCAGTTATTTGCTGGCAGGCATGAAGTTTCTCCGCTAACAGCTGAAGCGATCAGTGCCAAAGAGAAAGCTGGTAAGAGTGCAGCCACACTTTGATACAAACCCACTGCATTTACTCCCAGGCTTTTCCTGAAGCATAAATTGAGCAGTTTAGACCATTTACAAATAATACTTAGAGAAGAAGGCCAGCTTCTCATCCTCGCTAGAGTCAAAGGGGAGTTACCTTTGACTTGAGTGTTATTACCCACCATAATTTGTCACCTGTGCTTGTGGAGGATGCAGTGTTTTTGGTTGTCCTTCAGGATGTGGCTGTGCTTCACTGCACAGCTGGACCAAGGTCCAAAGCTTTTTGTCAGTGGAGCAGGACTGCGTGCACCTTGTGGAAAGCTCACTGTGATTGATCCTTTTGGACCTCAATTATAGACAACTAAAGTACATCTCCCAAATATAAGGATGCCATCAGATGACTAGCACAGAGGTGGAAATTCTTGCATTGGCTTTATCCACTTTTCTCAGGTTTATCTCAGGCATAGCCTAACAACATAGGCTGTGAGCTTTCTGGTATGTGAAGGAGTCTTTTATTGCATGTCTGCAAAAATGTCCAATATGGTGAGGCTTCTGTGCACTATGATTACATGAATAAAACAGAAGGGGTTTGCTGTAACTGCAGGGACATATAAAGTAGATGGATACTTGTCTGTTGTGCAGACAGGTAGATGGAGATATGTGTGTCTGTGCATCTTGGTGACTCAAACACCATCCCCAGGAACTGACAGACCCTTTGAAAGCTGGTGGGTAGGCTGCAACCCCAGTGAGTCAGATAATATTGTCTCAGGGGAAGCAGAAGTATATTTTGTAGGGCAAGCATGGAGTGAGACAGCCTGGGAATCTTCTCTCCCCCTCGAGCCTCACAATCATCTTCAAGGATTTGCCACAAAAATGTTAGTGGAAATGACCTATTCTCATAGTCAAAAGTCAAAGGCGTTTCTTCCTCTGGGTTGTGTATAAGTTATCCCACAGCATGTGCAGTAACGGATGAAACCTCAGGGAAATACCAGACCTCAAGAGAAAGTTTCCTTTTTAACTACGTTCAAATGCCAAAAAACCAAATGTAAGTCCTGATGAACTCCTCTGAGAACTGGAAACAGCAGGAGAGAGAGAAAAAGTTGCCAAGAATGACCTCAAAAAACTGAACTGAAAACAGCACCTCCTTCTTGCCTAGGGACATGGGACAACTCTGTCCAGAGATGTGGGCTTATTCTTACTTTTATCTGCATTGGAGTCTTTCAGCAGCACCCCTCTGGGCTCATACACTGTTCAGGCAGACACCTTACACCACTTCTGGGATAGGTGCGGGAGGAAGGCTCCAGGAGGGAGGGATCCCAGCCTCCCAGCAGTGGTTATATGCCATTAGATGTTTGCCTCCAGGCAAGCTCCACTGCATATATAGTGCAAAAATTGTGCCATTGCTTCTGAATTACTTCAGTAGCCTGTGTTAGGGATGTGTAGCTGATCCGTCTGTGCTCTTTTGAAAATGCTGGCATTACATCTATGACCATGACACCTTCCTTGTACTCATCCAGCAAAATTACAAAACTTAGTATTGACTCCCTTAGGAAGAGCATTATTGGCCAGGAGGGAATTTGCAGTTTTCTGTGAAGATGGCACAGCACAGATTCCTCTTTAATTACACTTTTAGGACCCTTTTATTTTCAGTGTAATTTCAGAGTTTTTCTGCGACACGTTCTGTGCTTCTTTTATCATGGCAGGCAATACACTTAGGAGGGGATTTGACTCATTTAGCTTTGGCCATCAAAAATGCAGCATGTTTAGTATTGTCATGCAGGCTGCCTCTGTAAGTCGTGTAAGGCATCTCTGGAGAGATTTATGTCATTTGTATCTTAGAAAAGACCAAATTTCTCTGTGACATTGCCTGTCCATCTGTTGACTTGGGAGGGGATTTAAAGCCATGGGTATGGGGCATATGGAGAGTATAGAGGGGATGGGGAGAGGACAGAAATATGTTTTTAGGGGTCACTGCAGACAGAATTAGGGCTGGGCTAGGCTGGGAGGGCGAGCAGAGAGCAGTGCCCTCCATCCTTCGACTGCTTCCAGCCATGTCCCCTCTGCTCCCGGGGGGGACCCTGGCAAGGGCTCTGCCACAAGGGTGCATCCTGGGTCAAAGCCGTAGGGTGTAAGAGAGGGGAAAAAAGAGGGGGGATAAGACCTCCTGAACAGCAGAGCTAATGGCCTCCTCTCTCTCTCCCTGCCCAGCCGAGGAGGCCCTCTGCACCCTGCGCCCACCCAGCTTCCGCCGGGTCCCAGAGGCGGAGATGCGAGGGGCGGAGGAGGTGGCAGCCGGCACTGTCCTGCAGCGCCTGATCCAGGAGCGGCTGAGGTATGGCAACCCCAGTGAGAACATGAACCTGCTGGCCATACAGCACCAGGCAACGGGCAGCGCCGGCCCCTCCAACAGCACTGCCAGCACTCTCTCTTCCGCAGAAAACCTTGTGCCCGAAGAGACGC